GCTCCACAATGCGTACATGCCGTGCTGTACATTATAGCTCTCGTACATGCCATGCCGTGCTGTACATTATATACTCCACTCTGCTCTCGTGTCCTGCTTTACAATAGTGCATGCCGTGCTGTACATTATATACCCCACTCTGTTCTTGTGTCGTGCTCTACAATAGCGTACATGCCGTGCTGTACATTATATACCCCACTCTGCTCTTGTGTCGTGCTCTACAATAGCGTACATGCCATGCTGTACATTATATATGCCACTCTGCTCTTGTGTCGTGCTCTACAATAGCGTACATGCCGTGCTGTACATTATATATCACACTCTGCTCTTGTGTAGTGCTCTACAATAGCGTACATGCTGTGCTGTACATTTTATACCCCCCAAAGAACAAGAGTACCCCAAGGAACCTAGATGGCAGGAGAACACACATCACATGCCCAATGACTTCACCACAAAACTTGAAGAGGCCTATGAGATAGGACAACCGGAAAGCTTTCCTGGATTCAAGGAGTTAGTTGAAGAGATGGTAGTCCTTGCTGATGCGTGTTCCAATGATCTCGACCGACAATTGCTCCGAGAGCTTCTCCTTGAATTCCAAGAGATCTTTGCCAAGGATTCTTACTATTGTGGGACTACTGACCTACACATCGCTAGGATCCAAACAGATCCAGATGCCCCACCAGTATTCGTAAGACAGTATAGGCTGCCGTTAGCTTCCTATGAATCTCTAGCTGAGATTATCAGGAAGTTACATGAAAGGGGTATAATTAAGCCCACCCACAGCTCCTATAACCATCCTATCCTAGGTATTTTAAAACCCAACGGACAATGGCGTCAGCTAAACAAGCGTGTGTACATGTCAGGATGGCCTGTCCCATACATAGACCAATGTCTAGCCCAACTCCAAGGATCCCGAGTTTTTACAGCCTTGGATTGTGCACAGGGATATTGGACCATTAAGGTGAGTGAGGAAGACCAATACAAACTGGCTTTCAGTTTTGGCAACCGACAGTACTGTTGGGTGCGAATGCCTTTCGGATTTATAAATTCCGGACATGAGTGCTGTTTTTATGCACAAGGCCATGCCAGATGCCCTCAAGCGGGGGACGTTGGCATATGTGGACGATATCCTGATCAAAAGTACTGATATGGCCAAGCATATTACGGAACTTCGACACGTTTTGGGCCAACTAAAAGCAGCAGGGGTTAAACTATCCCTACAAAAAGCCCAATGGTGTCGCACAAGGGTAAATTTCCTAGGCCATGAAGTTACCGCTGAAGGTTTGAACCCACAAAAGAAGGTTGAGGCGGTTCTAAACTGTAAAGTCCCTACTAAAGAATTAAGATCATTCCTAGGTATGGTAAATTACTCACGTAAATTCATCGATAATTATGCCGAGATAAGCAAGCCGTTGCTTCACCTACTAAGGAAAGATGTCGAATGGTCATGGGATAAGAAACAGGAAGACGCCATGAAGGAGTTGAAGGAAAGTCTCACCCAGGCCCCATGTCTCGTGTATCCAGAGGGAGGTAAAAACTTTTATCTAGAGACAGGGTTCACACAGGTAAGTATGAGTTCCGTTCTTTACCAAAAACAAGATAATGTCAGTAAGGAAATTGCCTATGCTAGTAAAACATTGTCCCCAGTAGAAATAAAATTCAGCGACTGCGAAAAAGCTCTATTATCCACCGTGTGGGCATTACAGAATTTCCGCAGTTATATTCAAGGAGAGGGAATCATTATTAAAACGGCACACCAGCCTTTACAGTATTTAACCAATTCAATACCGGGCGATTTTACCCCTTCCTGCCCAGGCCAGTTTTCAGCACTCTCACACTTTGAATGACAATTGCGCGGTCATACAACATTGTACCCAAACTAAAATATTATCATTTTCTTCACACAACTGGAGCTTTCTTTTGGTGGTATTTAATCACCGCTGGGGTTTTTATTTTTTGCTAAATTAACAAACAAAGACCAAAAATTTTGAAACAAAAACACGTTTTTCTTTGTTTCTGTTATAAAAGTTTGCAAATAAATAATTGTTCTTCATAAATTTAGGCCGAGATGTATTCTGCTACATGTCTTTGGTGAAAATAACCCAAATTAGGATGTATTATTTAGTTTGTAGGAAAGTTATAGAGTTCACAAACTATGGTATAGATCTGAAAATTGATCAATCCTGAAGTACTGACAGCCAATCTAATTTCTTGAGGTCCAAGAATGTCAGAATAGTACAGATATCCCCAAATGTCAGGACAGTACAGATATCCCCAAATGACCCCTTTTTGCAGAGTAGACAGTCCGACGTACTTCATAAGAGAAAATGGCGAGTTTTTTGAAGTTGTATTTTTTTTATCATAATTTTTCGGAAAATGAAAAAAATTAGTTTCACTATTTTTTTTTTTACATACTGTCACCAGTGCAGTACAGCGTCATCATATAACTGGCATGGCGGTGATCAGGGACACTGACTGGTGACAGTATGAAAAAAAAAATAATATATATTTTTTTTTTTATTATTGGTTATTAATTTTTTTTTAAGATTTTTTTTTCATATTTCACTATGACCAAAGTAGTACAATGTTACCATAGTAACATTGTACTACTTTGGGGAAGTGATCAGTATTTTATTTTTTTTACACAATTTGCTTATAGCAAAGAATTACTTTGCTATAAGCAAACATTTCCCTGAATGACATCGATTCATTCAGGGTTTTTTTTTTTTTTTGTGCTTAGCTGTGTTTTGGCCACAGCTAATCACATGACATGTGCATGTGACCTGCTGTGACCATTCACAGCTAGACATTAGTATACAATGGATGGCATGAATGAAGCCATCCATTGTATACAACTGTCATGTGACCTGCTGTGATTGGTCACAGCAGGTCACATGTTACCAGCAACGGGGGCTGATACACAGATCTGTCATCGACTGTGTCCGATCTACACGGCTGGTGACAGATCGCATCGCTGCGCGGCTCTGCAGGAGCGCAATCTGCGTATGTGCGGGAGGACGCCATATGGCGTCCACCCAGAACGCTGATGACATTTGCCGGCTGCCATTCGGCCATAGGGCAAATGGTTAAAGAGTGAATGTATCAGGGGAGGAAATGTGTCTAATAGCCGCATCACTGCTTGGAATTTGTCATTGCAAGGGTGGCCTCTTGAAATTCGTTATAAACAAAACAAGAAAAGTCCAGTAGCCCAGGGCCTAGCTGAGCTCCATGATTGTTCCACAACTACGCCTGCTAAGGTGGCCCCGGACACTGACTTTTTTGGAAGAACAACTGTTATCTCCTACAAGGTGGAAACAAAATAATATGACAAAAAGCAATAATAAGCCCGTAAAACATGGTAAGCGCTTTTGTCGTATTGATGAGCTAGTGAGGTCCAATGAATTAACCCTTTATTTCAAAAAGGCCACTCCAAGGTCCTAGGTGCAGAAAAAGAAGGGAATGATTTGGCTGATTCACTAGCCAAAGAAGGAGCAATCACCGGTGAACTACTAGACATAGATCATCTTTTTAGGTACAGTACAGATTGAAGCTATCACCAGGCAACAGGCCAGAACAGCTGGTGATCCTAATGTATTACAGTGGAGTCACGATTCTCCTAGTGAGGATTTAATTACTGCCCAAAAAGAAGACCCAATAATTGGCCTTTTTTATAGACATAGACATAGAAGATATAGACATAGAAGATCCCAACCAAAATCCCATTAATCAGGAAATATGTACTGGGAAAGAGGATTTACATATTTTAATGAAATCAAAATCCCAATTCGCTTTGTACCAGGGATTGTTGATACGAACCTCAAAAGGTGGTATCCAATAATGGGTCCTCCCACTTAAATTTAGAGGTCTAATGTTACAGCATGCCCATGATGCTCCTACTTCCGAACATCGTGGAGAGAAGATCACATATGAGATCCTACGGGATTATGCTTACTGGCCTCATATGTTACGTGACGTGAAGGAGTACTGCCAAGGTTGCCTAATATGTCCCCAGTTTCAACCTACTAAACCAACCCATAGAGCACCTCTCCAGAAAAGGGGGATATATATGCCTTGGTCAGACCTTCAAATGGATTTTATTGGACCCGTAAATCTTCACGAGGAAATCGATATATGTTAACAGTTACATGTTTATTTACCAAGTATGTCGAATGTATTCCAGCACCAAATAATAGCTCCGAGACATGTGCCGCATTGTTAATAAATCATATCTTTTCACGTTTTGATCTCCCACAGAGGATAGAATCTGACAGAGGATCACACTTCACTAGAGAAGTAATGGCCAAACTGTGGAAAATTTTGGGTTTTAAAAGGAAACTGCATATCGCCTATCGGCCAGCCTCTAGTGGTGGAGTAGAATGATACAATCAGACCATCGTTAACATCCTTAAGAAATTTGTTAAGGAAACAGGCAAGGACTGGAATATAAAACTTCCACTGGTCCTGATTTCTTTGAGGGCTACTCCGAATACAGTCACAAAAATGTCATCCTTTGAACTGATGACAGGTAGACGGATGGTACTGCCCCAACATTTATCGCACTACAGATCAAAATTTGATCAAGTCAAGGAACGGAAATTCCTTCCGTCGTGGAAAGGTCCATTTTCCATTGTTGACAAGATTTCCCCGGTGGCGTATAAATTACATATTCCCCGGAACGGTGAAATCAGTGAGAGATGGGTGCACATCAATCAATTACGTGCTTGCCACCCAAAGTCACAATTGCAGTTGTTAGAAGACTAACCCACCAGTTCCTACCTGGAGATATTGAAATCATTATGGAATTTCCTCTAAAATTTTCATTCACCTTTTGTCTTACAGGGTCAAGTCATATAATATTCTGGTGTATCTGGTACTTAACCACCCTCCGCCCGCCCTATAGTACAATGACGGGCGCAAGGTGGTTCTCTCGTTCTGATAGGACGTCATATGACGTCCTATTATTCTCACTGCACATGCGCGGCTCAGGGAGCGCGCCGATCGCCGATGCGCTGTGTCCCTCGGACACGGCGGATCATGGAAAGAGCCAAAGATGTCGGCTCGGTCATGTGATCAGCTGTGTCCAATCACAGCTGATCACATGTAAACACGGAAACGCCGGTTATCGGCATTTCCCTCCTCTGAAGTTGTCACGCTGACAGCTCGAGAGGAGAGGAGAGCCGGTAATCCGCTTTCCGTGGAGGGGACATGTACACTGATCATCAGGGCACTGATGATCAGTGCGCCCTGATGATCAGTGTGGCCCCAGAAGTGCCACCTGTCAGTCCTCATCAGTGCCACGTGCCAGTGCCCATCAATGCCACATATCAGTGCATACCAGTGCACATCAATGCCACTTATCAGTGCCCATCTGAGCTGCCTTTCAATGTCACCCATCAATGCCAATCAGTGCCACCTAGTGTTGCCTATCAGTGCCGCCTATCAGTGCCAGTCAGTGCCGCCTATCAGTGTCATTTATCAGTGTCATGTATCAGTGCTGCCTTTCAGTGCCCATCAGTGATGCCTGTCAATGCCCATCAGTGCAACCTACCAGTGCCTCCTCATCAGTGCCCATCAGTGCCACCTATCAGTGTCCATCAGTGCAGCCTATCAGTGCCCATCACTGCAGCCTCATTAGCGCACATCAGTGAAGGAGAAAAATCACTTATTTACAAAATTGTATAACAAAAACGAAGAAAAAAACTTTTTTTTTTTATTAAACTTTTCAGTGGTTTTTGGTTTAAGAAGAAATAAAAATCCCAGAGGTAATTAAATACCACCAAAAGAAAGCTCTATCTGTCTCAAAAAAATTTCATATGGGTCCAGTGTTGTATGACCGCGCAATTGTCATTCAAAGTGTGACAGCGCTGAAAGCTGGAAATTGGCCTGGCAGGAAGGGGGTATAAGTGCCCTGTAGGCAAGGGGTTAAACTGTTCATTTTCCATAATTTAGTAATGAAGGCCCAGACGATGACCAGATCAGCGATCGGAGGTGTCAATGACCAGACCCTAGAAGGAAGCTCAGGTAGCTACCTGATGTCCTGTAGGAAAGGCCAGACTTCCAACAATCGATCCGGAGATGACAACCTGATGTCCCAGACCACTAAGGGCCAGTCCAGAGGAAGAAACCCGCCTATGAGACCGTCTCAAAAGACCTGTCGTGCGGAGGATCCTATGGACCCTGATGTGGGTGTGCCCGCCAGGCCAGGCCAGTCAAGTTGGAGCACCATCATTATATATTTATATGGTTCGGTTTTTGGATTTGCATATTATGATTGTATGATTGATGATATAGATTTGCTTACGGATTGGAGTGTTTGTGTGCTATTCACCATTTTGTTATATGACACATAACACAGTTTGCACCTGTTATGTTCCCATAGAGGGAATTCACGTGTTGCACTCATTATTTCATTGCATCCCTTTTAGTGTGTATTTTGGGGGGATTGAGTGTGGTACACTTATACTTATGATTTATTATTTTTTTTTTGTATATTTTTGTTATTAATATTATTTAGCGCTACACTGTGTTCATATATTTCTCAAGAAAGTACAGTACTCTCCATTTTTACCCTAATTTCTCCGTAAAATGCCAGTGTCAGACATTTTACTGGCCCAAAGATGCCATTATAAAAAAAAAAAAAAAAGCAATGTCTGTGTAGTGTATATAAATAGTGCAGCGCTTATAAATAATAGGTAAACAGAAAAGAACAGCAAGTCCTTAATAGATCAAATAATAAATATAAAAAATTGTATAAAATTTAAATTAAAGGATATGGAACAGTCCAGCAAATACATTGAATATGAGAAAACCAGGTGACTTGGATATCCGTGTGATAGTGGTAATGAAATGCACACTCACCGGACGCGCATATTAAATGCGCCTTATGTACAATTATCCTGATGCCTGGTAATGGGTGGTCCTCCCTATGTAGGGTCTCGGGTAGGTGGTCCTCTTTTGCAGAAAAGGGGGTCCTCCTGTGTAATCCTGGTGGGTGTTGTCCCTCCTGGTGGCCTGGGTAGTGGGTGGTATTCCGTCCTCCAAGCAGGTCTGTGGGCTAGAGCACTCCCCTCCAGCTCAATTTGAACAGCGATTACACTGCGCCCTTCCCGCGCTGAGCTGTGAGTGGAATGTTACAATTTTTTAAATTTAATATTTGATCTATTAAGGACTTACTGTTCTTTTCTGTTTACCTATTATTTATAAGCGCTGCACTATTTATATACATTGTCTTCTCTATAGGTCATTGGTACCTTTTTTCTGTGCACAGCAGCTTGTTGACTCCTACTAAGGCGCTTATAGTACTTTTTATACAATGTCTGTGTAGTGGTTTGTAAGTTCCTGGCCGCATGTATACAGATCCCTCCTGCTACTGCCTCTCACTCTGTGACTTGTAACAAAGTTATACTGTACAGTCTGTGTGAGTGATGGCTGGGGAGAAAATGCTTCATCCTGTCGACAGCAAACCAAGGACATGATTTTCCAGCCTGTATCCAGCCTAGGCACTGTCAATAAGGTGCTTCTGGAAGGTTCACATGAATGGTAAAACAGTTGCTTTCATTAGGGCACCAGGGATTCCAACATTTTCTAATCCACTGGACAAATCACAGCAGTCACATTTCTAATCAACAATAATATCTACAAATCGGTTTTAAAAGATAATATGGACAAGATGATATATTTCAAAATAATTTAATTTCCTTAAAATAAACATGATATAGTATGGCCAACTTGAACATTTTACAGAGAAAACAGGCACTCAGAAGCAGGCCTGAAAGCAGAAATTCAGCCTATACCTAACTAGTCTTAGGCTCCATGCACACAAGCGGTTTTTTTTAACCTCCTTGGCGGTATGATTTTTTCCGATTTTTTGTGCTGAAAGCTGAAAGCGGTACCATTATTTTGCATGGAAATATGTTGTTTTTTTTATTGTAGGCTGTAATTTTTAGGAATAACTCACTGAAATCTGTCCGAACAAGAGTCTAGTAAACATCCCGGGTATGATAAAATTTGAAACACGAAATCATAAATTATAATTTAATAAATAATCATAAAAAATAATAATATAATAATAATAAATTTAATTCAATAATATAATCAAACCAAAAACACTGAAATTTGAAATACAGAGGCAAATTCGCACATCGCTGAGCAAAGTCGCAAAATCGTTTTCAGTGTCTGATGAGGAATTTCCCCCACGAATCATTATCACTCAATTCTGCAAGTGGTTCTGATTTACTATCGCTGTTCTCTAGCCGGTCTAAAACCGCTTTTGACGTAAAGGGACGCTTTTTGGACGCCATGGACTTTTCTAAGTTTCCAGGCAGAAAGAACATTCAAAATGCAGGCAGGGCGCCGGACAAAGCAGTAGGGACAAAATGTATGTGAAATGCATTGAAACAGCAGACAGCAAAAATTACATTTTTTAAAAATTTAAAATTTCCCGCTGGTTCCGGCGCCCGTACGTCCCGACTCACAGGGACCGGAATACAGGAGCCGGATGCCGGCATCGGCCGGAGGAGATGGCCGGGGACGCTGCAGGGGACACATGGCGGGAGCGAAGGACAAGGTAAGTGCTGCAGGGACCCCCAGAGCAACGCCGCATGGTAAGCCCGAGTGTAGCTCGGGGTTACCGCTCTTGGTATAGAAATTTTACCCCGAGCTACACCCGGGAATACCGCTAAGGAGGTTAAAGCTAAAAAAAAATGCTGGATAAAAAAAATAACCGGGAATAGCAGTTTATAGTAGCGTTTCAACAGCGTTTAGGAGCATTAGCATTTTACTAGCATTTTTACAGTACATATAGAGGGGGAAAAAAAAAAAAAAAGCTAGAAAAAAAAAAGCTAGAAAAAAAAAAAAAAAGCTGTTATAGGCGTTTTATTAGTGCGTTTTTTTCTGTTGGACAAATCGCGCCAAAAAGCTCTAAAAGAACAATTTTTTTTTCCTGCTCCTAAACGCTGAAGCTGAAAAACTGCTAATAGCCAAAAGTAGTGTGCACGGACACAGGACAACACTATTTAGCTTTTAGAAGCATAAAAAAATACGCTGGTAATAGCTTATAGGAGCTAAATAAAACGCTAGTGTGCATGGAGCCTAAAAGTGGTTCTAAAGGCTGAATGGTTTTTATCTTAATGCATAATCTGCATTAGGGCAAAACAAAAAAAAAAAACTACTGTGTGCAGCTCCCCTCCCCCTTATACTTACCTGAGCCCAATCCCAACCAAGTACTGTGCATAAAGCACAACTCTGCTCGCTCTCTCTCTCCTCCTTGGCTCAGAGACAGCAGCGGAAGCCATTGGCTCCTGCTGCTGTCAATCATAACCAGTGAGGAGAGGGCGGGGGCCAGGGCTGAGCCATGCTCTGTCAATGGATACACAGAGCGCAACTCAGGATCAAGCCCACCCAAGTGCCCACCATAGCAAGGGATGGGGTGAGGTTGGCATTGAGCTCAGAGCATCAGCGGGGGACCCCAGAAAAGGATGATCGGGGATGCTCTGTACAAAGCAGGTAACTAAAACATGGTTGTTATTTAAAAATTATAAATAAAAATCTATCCTTTGCAATCACTTTGCAGTCCCCTGTTCCTCCTAACGCCTATGCCAATCAAACTGTGTAATAAAAAGGTGTATACTTACCTATTTTCACCCGGCACGGGTCACACAATCCCATGTCAGTCAGCACCAGTTACAGAGGAGGGGAGGGAGCACTCAACAACTGCTGGTAAAGCCTGAAGCAGTGGCATCACACAGACTCCAATGTCGATGGTCCCTCCTCTCGCCTGAAGCCCCTGCTGTCTGATCACGTGAGCAGACCGGAGCAGGTGGAAATATATAGGAGTACACATCCTTTCTAGGGCCAGTTCAGAATGCGGTGTGGGTAACCAATGTACTGTGTGCGTTGCCTGAACCGTGTTTAAATAGATCTGCACTCTTGCGCTCTGTAGCAGGTGTCAATGTTAACTTAAAGACACACCACATGCAGGTCGCAGAGGCAGTGCATTTACCTGCACCGGATCACATGGTACAGCAGTAAAAATGTGATCCAGTTGCTGTGCGTTTTTTTTTTAAGTAGTGAATGCACTACTTTTGGTGCGGTCTGGTGTGTTCAACCCATTCAAATGAATAGGCTGAAATTGCACTGCAACTGGATCGCATTTGAATTGCACAGGAATGTATTCCTACGATTCATGGTGTGTACTGGCCATTACACAAATTGTCAGCATAGGAGGAAGCAGGAAACATTTTTAGGACTACTTATAGTAGGTCTAGGATTTGATTCTCCTTGAACCACCATCATGTCTGAACATTGGCTGGATAGTGAGTCGAAGAACAGGTCTGTCCACTTATAAGAAACCATTGAAATAAAATGTAGAGCTAAAGAGCGATCTGCTGCTTTTTAAACAAAGGAACATACACAAGAGATAAACATGCCCTGTAAAGTAATGCGAGTGATCAGCGCCTCTGGCTTCCAGCTGGAAAAGGTCGGTTCTTTGAGGTGCTCATACCCCGGCCAGACAGGCTTCCATCAAGAGCTGTGATTGGATACATCTTTGATTTCACTGGTGTCTTTTCTCTTCCACAAGTTTCCAAACACAATGCCAAAGAAAAGTAAAAACCCCACATTGCGATTGGCACTAAACTTTTTCCAGCAGTCCTCTACGTTGTTTATGTCTAAAGAATAAATCTGTTAAAGGACAACAGGGAGAAAAAAAAAAAAAAGGAGCCATTTACAGCGCTGAGCGAACTATTGGCGCTTTATAAATACTGTATAATAATAATAATAATAATAATATTTACCTATATATCATCAGGTGGAAGCAACACAATTGGTGCTTCACAGAAAATTAAATTGCTAGTTAAAAGATTAGGTCACCAATTCAGAAAAAATAAAAAGATGAACTAACACCATACACCCTGCCACTCCCCCATCCCAGTCTCCAGCTGTGAGTGATGAGCAGTGCCCACGCAGCCAAAGTAATGATTTAATTGGTTGGCCCTTATGGACTTTGGCACGCTTCTTCCTGGCTTATACCGGGATCATGACAGCAGCTATCCTGGTATTGTTTACTTAACTCCAGCGATTCTCTTTCAAGTAACAGTAATCCAAGCGGCTATGGAGTCACCGGATTACTTTTACAGGTGGCGAAAGGGTTCCCCCCCACCGCCACCTTTACCAGGCTCTCCCATCTTACCGGGGAGCTTGATGAGGATGTGACTGGTGGCATTCAGTTCCGGGCACACAATGAGAGGATGACTATGTTGTGCCTCCCACTGTGTGAAGTCAGAAAACGGAAGCGATGAGGATTTCTTCTGGTTCAGGTCTCATTTAAACAAGCCATTACCAGCTTGAATCTTGGATTTATCAGATGTTATGCAGGCCAGAGGAGAGATCTGGGGTCTAATAGACCCCAGATCTCTCCATAAAGACGACATGTCACGATCAATGCTATCACAAAGGATGTTCAATAAAGTTGATAAAAAAAAAATTAAAAAGGCAGTGTTAAAAACGTTGTGTGAATAAATAATATATTTATATGTAATCGCATATATACAGTCAGGTCCATAAATATTGGGACATCGACACAATTCTAACATTTTTGGCTCTATACACCACCACAATGGATTTGAAATTATACAAACAAGATGTGCTTTAACTGCAGACTGTCAGCTTTAATTTGAGGGTATTTACATCCAAATCAGGTAAACGGTGTAGGAATTACAACAGTTTGCATATGTGCCTCCCACTTGTTAAGGGACCAAAAGTAATGGGACAGAATAATAATCATAAATCAAACTTTCACTTTTTAATACTTGGTTGCAAATCCTTTGCAGTGAATTACAGCCTGAAGTCTGGAACGCATAGACATCACCAGACGCTGGGTTTCATCCCTGGTGATGCTCTGCCAGGCCTCTACTGCAACTGTCTTCAGTTCCTGCTTGTTCTTGGGGCATTTTCCCTTCAGTTTTGTCTTCAGCAAGTGAAATGCATGCTCAATTGTATTCAGGTCAGGTGATTGACTTGGCCATTGCATAACATTCCACTTCTTTCCCTTAAAAAACTCTTTGGTTGCTTTTGCAGTATGCTTTGGGTCATTGTCCATCTGCACTGTGAAGCGGCCAATGAGTTGTGAAGCATTTGGCTGAATATGAGCAGATAATATTGCCCGAAACACATCAGAATTCATCCTGCTGCTTTTGTCAGCAGTCACATCATCAATAAATACAAGAGAACCAGTTCCATTGACAGCCATACATGCCCACGCCATGACACTACCACCACCATGCTTCACTGATGAGGTGGTATGCTTAGGATCATGAGCAGTTCCTTTCCTTCTCCATACTCTTCTCTTCCCATCACTCTGGTACAAGTTGATGTTGGTCTCATCTGTCCATAGGATGTTGTTCCAGAACTGTGAAGGCTTTTTTAGATGTCGTTTGGCAAACTCTAATCTGGCCTTCCTGTTTTTGAGGTTCACCAATGGTTTCCATCTTGTGGTGAACCCTCTGTATTCACTCTGGTGAAGTCTTCTCTTGATTGTTGACTTTGACACACATACACCTACCTCCTGGAGAGTGTTCTTGATCTGGCCAACTGTTGTGAAGGGTGTTTTCTTCACCAGGGAAAGAATTCTTCGGTCATCCACCACAGTTGTTTTCCGTGGTCTTCCAGGTCTTTTGGTGTTTCTGAGCTCACCGGTGCGTTCCTTCTTTTTAAGAATGTTCCAAACAGTTGTTTTGGCCACGCCTAATGTTTTTGCTATCTCTCTGATGGGTTTGTTTTGTTTTTTCAGCCTAATGATGGCTTGCTTCACTGATAGTGACAGCTCTTTGGATCTCATCTTGAGAGTTGACAGCAACAGATTCCAAATGCAAATAGCACACTTGAAATGAACTCTGGACCTTTTATCTGCTCATTGTAATTGGGTAATGAGGGAATAACACACACCTGGCCAAGGAACAGCTGAGAAGCCAAATGTCCCATTACTTTTGGTCCCTTAACAAGTGGGAGGCACATATGCAAACTATTGTAATTCCTACACCGTTCACCTGATTTGGATGTAAATACCCTCAAATTAAAGCTGACAGTCTGCAGTTAAAGCACATCTTGTTCGTTTCATTTCAAATCCATTGTGGTGGTGTATAGAGCCAAAAATGTTAGAATTGTGTCAATGTCCCAATATTTATGGACCTGACTGTAAATGGCTATCACACCACACATGTGAGGTTTCGCCATGAACGTCTGAGCGAGAGCAATACTTTTAGCACCAGACCCCCTGTAGAACTCTAAACTAGTAACCTGTAAAGGCTTTAAAAGTGTCGTGTGTGTACGTGTGTATGTGTGTTTTAGAGCCAAGGTCTCCTATTTCTAATGTCCACTACTGTGAATGACCAACCGATTAATCGAACTGAATCATTTCTGTAAGGCTGCTACAAAACAAAGAACCCCAAATGAAAAATGAAGGCCTGAGCAAAAGCCAAAAGATAGCAGGTGATGCACCCTTACTACCATCTATACAAAACCAAAGAGCACATTTACAGAAGTTAACTTGCAATAAAGGGGTCATGTAATAGACAATGGGGAAAATTATTATTTTATCCCTGCAGATTTTGAAAGTTTGCCCACTTACAAAAGAAATGAAGGGTGTACAATTTTTATCATAGACAGAATATCAACCAAAATTCAAGAAAAAACACGATACAAATGTTATAAACGGAGTTGCAGTTTAGTGTGTGTAAAATAAGTATTTGATCCCCAGGAAAAACATGACTTAGTACTTGGTGGAGTAATCCTTGTTGGCAATCACAGAGGTAAAACGATTCTTGTAGATGGTTACCAGGTTTACACACATCTCAGGAGATATTTTGGTCCACTCTTCTTTACAGATCTTTTCTAAATCCTTAAGGTTTCTTGGCTGTCACATGGCAGTTCCAAGTTTCAGCTCTCTCCATAAGTTTTCTATAGGATTAAGGTCTGGAGACTGGCTAGGCCACTCCAGGACCTTAATGTGCTTCTTCTTGAGCCACTCCTTTGTTGCTTTGGCAGTATGTTTTGGGTCATTGTCATGCTGGAAGACGACCATCCACGACCCATCTTCAGTGTTCTGGATGAGGGAAGAAGGTTCTCATCCAAGATTTTACAATACATGGCCCCGTCCATCCCCTCAACGTGGGAAAGTTGGCCTGTAACTTTAGCAGAGAAACAGCCCCAAAGCATAATGTTTCCACCTCCGTGCTTGACTGTAGGGATGGTGTTCTTAGGGTCATAGTCAGCATTTTTCTTCCTCCAAACACAGCGAGTCGAGTTAATGCCAAAGAGCTCAATTTTGGTCTCATCTGACCTCAGCACTTTCTCTCAATCCTTCTCTGAATCATTTAGATGTTCATTGGCAAACCTCAGGCAGCCTGTACATATACCTTCTTGGGGAGGGGGACCTTGCGGGCGCTTCAGCATTTAAATTCATGGCGGCGTATCATGCTACCAATGGTTTGTTTGGTGACTGTGGTCCAAACTGCCTTATAATCAATCACAAGCTCCTACCATGTAGTTTTGGGCTGATCCCTCACTTTTCTCATGATCATGCTTACCCCATGAGGCAAATTCTTGCATGGAGCTCTAGACCGAGGGCGATTGATGGTTATTTTGTATTTCTTCCATTTGAGAATAATCGCTCCAACAGTTGTCTCCTGCTCACCAAGCTCCTTGTGATGGTCTTGTAGCCCCAGCCTTATGCAGGTCTACAATTTTCCTTTGACAGCTCTTTGGTCTTGTCCATGGTGGTGGTGAGGTTTGAATAGAGAAAGATTCTGTGGACAGGTGTCTTTTATACACATATCAAGTTGTCATTAGGGGCACCTTCTTAAATTGACAGGACTAATCTGTGTACCACATGAGCACATAGCCAGTCTGTGGGAGCCAGAATTATTGTTGGTTGGTAGGGGATCAACTACTTATTTTACTCACTAAACTGCAACTCAATTTATACCATTTGTATTAAGTGTTTTTTTCTGGATTTTTGGTTGATATTTTGTCTCTATCATTTAAAATGCACCTCTGATAAAAATAATAGACCCTTCATTTCTTTGCAAATGGGCAAACATACAAAATCTGCAGGGGATGAAATTATTTTCCCCACTGTACATCATCCTGCTACCGTGTATTGATCATGATCACGAGGTTAAAAAAAAAAAAAAAAAAAAAAAAGTTACCTGATGAGCAAGATGTCCCCCAATGAGTGCAACAGCGGCATAATAGGGAAGTGTCTGGTCACAGTTTAGTCCTGTCAGTGTAAGTCCTGCAAGCATTGCCGCACTAAATCCGCTTAGCCACAGCTTTGTCTGTTCATTGAATCGCAATGCTGTTGATTTTACCCCAACAACCACATCATCTTTTTTATCCTGAAAATAAACACAGCTTGGATAAAGCATATATAAACCCAAGAGATATACTGCAGCTTACCAGTCCTGAGATGAGGTGTCAGAATTAATTTCTCTTCTTGGGCTTCGATTCCCTTATTTTCACCTAGTGATCCTGTTAGTAACACACTTCCTATCTTAGGGTGACAATGCTCTCCAACTGTGCTGTCACCCCAGGATATGTATTTTTTTATTTATTTCAGGTACTTATATAGCGCCGTCAATTTACACAGCGCTTTACATACATATTGTACATTCACATCAGTCCCTAACCCTCAAGGGGTGTACAATCTAAGGTCCCTAACTCACATCCATCCATACACATACTAGGGACAATTTAGACAGGAGCCAATTAACCTACCAGCATGTCTTTGGAGAGTGGGAGGAAACCAGAGCACCCGAAGGAAACCCACACAGGCACAGGGAGAACATGCAAACTCCAGGCAGGTAGTGCCGCGGTCGGGATTTGAACCAGCGACCCTAGTACTGCCAGGTGGAAGTGATAACCATTTAGCCACTGTGCTGCCCTAAAAGGATAGAAATATCACACTTTTCCTTTTTATCTCCTTGATAATATTGGGGGGGGGGCAATTCTGTAGTTCACAGGGAGAGCTGGGAACATTAACTGATCACAGTCGGCACAGGCACAGAATAAAGGAAGTGATCAGCTGGAAACATTTCTGCCAGGATCAACAGGTATTTTTGCATTCATCAATTATAGCATATCCACTTAAGCTCCAGAAGGTTTTGCCCCCTTCATGACCAGGGCATTTTCTTTGCTATTTGGCACTGTGCTACTTTAATTGGCAATTGTGCGGTCATGCAACACTGTACCCAAATGAAATTTATACCATTTTTTCATGCAAATAGAGCTTTCTTTTGGTGATATTTGATCACCACTGGGTTGTTATTATTTACGTAAATGAAAAAAAGACCGAAAATATATATTTTTTATTTTCTGCTATAAAACAAATCCAATTAAAAAAAAAAAAAAATCGAATTTCATTATGTCTTTGGTAAATAAAATATCCCAATAAGTGTATAACTTCTACAAAGCATGTTATATATACACACTCGAATTTTTTTTATACTACAATTGGAGCTGCACTGATTATCATTGTAGATGTGTGCGGTCACAGGATTGTCGGTTATCGGCTTTCCTTTCCGCACCCAGTGACAGCGCTGAGGAAAGGAAAAGCTGATAACCGGCATTTGTTTACATGTGATCAGCTGTGATTGGACACAGCTGATCACATGGTAAAGGACCACTGTGATTGGCCCTTTACCTTGATCTGTGACCAGCTGTGTCCAAAGGACACAGCGATGACAGAGCATGCAGGGGGGGTGGAGTTCTGATAGGATGTTTACAGACACCCTCCCAGAACTAGACGGCGTTCAGCTATACAGCGCAGTCGGCAAGTGGTTAAAGGGATAAACCATGGGGAAATGTGCATGCGTTGCAGAGATGTACTGCATACGCATTTTGTTGCCCAGACATACCCATTCTTCAGTGAAAAACATAGGAATTACCTGGTGTGCATAGATGGTATCATAAACCAGCGTCCACATAATTCCAGAGACATACAAGGGAAGACACACCGACCAGTCACATGACCCTTTAATAGCAGACCAGCCTAACAAGGCTCCCCAGTTAAATGCCAGCCCTGTGTATAAAGGTAAAGAGATTAATGCATTCACATCCATGCAACCAATAAGTAATCTTGTAAGAATGCAGTACAGGGAAAGGGAATATAGATCATGATGAGAAAATAAAAAATAATACTGTGCAGCGCTACACACCAAACATAAAAAATAAATGAATGAATACTAGAAGTGATAAAGTACCAATATTTTACTTCTGAATGAATATCCTTCATCCCATGACCACCGGTGCTCCAAAACACAGAGAGAGTGTACAATTCCTCCACCAGATGTCTGCTCACCTCCAGCAGTGTGACCTCACATAATATAATGCTTGGTCTAACCGCACTTTGGTCCCAAAGTGGACTTTGAAGGTCAACTTGATGAATAATGGATCCCAATGGCTCACTCCAAAGAACCCTCTTCACCAATCGTAATCCTCATGAACAAAAAACTTAACATAGTGTTTACCCTTTTAACCTCTTGCCGTCCGCCTGCTGTTTATAAACGGCAGGGCGGTGGCAGTCCAGGGGCGGGTTGCCGTTCATAAACGGCACCCGCCTTTTCTAGCTGTGCGCGCTCCCTGAGAGCGCGCACCACCGCGATCCGGTGCCCGCTGTGTCCTCCGGACACAGTGAAACACCGATCGTCGGACGGGACCTCTGTACGAGGTCCCGATCATGTGATCACTGATTGGCGAATCAGTGATCACATGCAAAGTAGTAAGCAAGATGTCACTTGTGACATCATTGCTTACTACGTGTGAAATCTGTGAATGATCACAGAGGTCACATGGTACACAAGGCTATTCACAACAGCCTTGTACCATGTGACAAGCTGTGACCAATCACAGCTCACTCAGTATTTCTCAATGACTGCAAGAATGCAGACAGAGAGAAAGAGAAATGATTGCTTTTACATCCTATATGGGTGTAAAAGCAATCAGTGTAAAAAAAAAAAAAAAAAAATCTTCATCACCCCCACAAGTAGTACAGTGTCACCATGGTGACACTGTACTGCTAGGGTGACAGTATGTAAAAAAAATATATATATACAAATATAAAAAAATAAAATAAAAATGTAATAAAAAATGTTTAAAAATTATAATTTTTGGTTATAAACTAATTTGGATTTTTTTTTTTTTTTTTACTAAAAAAATAACGGAATAAATTTTGGCCAAGATTTATGATGAAATATTATTTATTTGCAAAACTTTATTAAAAAAAAAAAACACTTTTTTTTTTAATTTTTGGACTTTTTCATTTACATAGTAAAAAAAATAAAGATCCCAGCGGTGAATAAATACCACCAAAATAAAGCTTTATCTGTCTCAAAAAAATGGTAAAAAATTCATATGGGTACAGTATTGCATGACCGCGCAATTTTCATTCAAAGTGTGATAGCGCTGAAAGCTGAAAATTGCCCTGGACAGGAAGGGGGTAAAAGTGTCCGGACAGGAAGTGGTTAAAAAAGCTTTTTTATCACAAAGACTTCCACATATGCACTCACATGTGACAGTATAGAAAGGATCCAATGAATATCTCCACAATCCCAAAGGAAACTGTGCCTTCCAAGTCAGCTACAGGGGTATATGCTCCAGCCAAACGCAAGATCATGAAATTCCATATGACACAGCAGCTGAGAGCCCTGAAAATGTTACCAGAGTGCCTCACGATCTGCAGAGTCCTGAACGATGTATACCACTGTCGTGATAAAGGTCGACTTTCCTTTGCGTCGTGACCACCTTTGCCCTCCTGAGGATTTACCCCCCTTCTTAACCAGGCCATTTTTTGTGTTACGGAGCTGCGTTACTTTAACTGACAATTGCGTGGCTGTGCAATGCAGCATCCAAATTAAATTTACGCCCTTTTTTCCATGATTTGAGCTTTCATTCGGTGGTATTTTATCACCTGTGCGGTTTTTTTTTTTTTTGCGCTATAAAAAAAAAAAAAAAAAAAAAAAAAAAAAAAAAAAAAAGACCAACAATTTCGAGAAAATAAAATATATTTTTCACTTTTTGCTCTTAAAACGTGTCCAGTAAAAAAAAAAAAAAGATAGGAAAAAAAAAAATCTAATTTCATCATAAATTTACGCCAAAATGTATTCTGCTACATATCATAGCTAAAAAAAAATCCCAATACATGTAAATGAATTGATTTACGTGAAAGTTATAGTGTTTACAAATGACGGCATATATACTGGGATTTTTTTTTTTTTTTTTTTAATTTTTACTAGTAATGGTGGCAATCAGCGACTTATAGCGGCGGACATTCTGACACTGGGGGGAACGGACTTGGTGTCATCGACATCCCCAGTGGCACCAATACAGTGAACAGTGCTTTAAAAAAAAAAAAAGAAGAAGCACTGACAGTGTACCAATGGTGCTGGGCAAGAAGGGGTTAACATGAGGGGCAATCACAGTGTTAACTGTGCAGGGAGTGTTTTACTGGGGGGCTGTGTGTTGGTGCTTCACTGTAAGCACACTGCTGTGGATGGCTGTGCTGTGCATCCACAGCAATGTGCCCGAGGTGACAGGGAAGACGACTGTTAGTAAACAAACAGTCGTCCTCTCCGTCGGAAAGCACCTGGCGCTGCGCCAGCAAGTTTATCGACATAGCCTGGTGATTGACAGCCGTGGCCGCAAATGGCAGCGTAGATAGGGTGCTCGTACGCGCCCCCTACCCAGAAGTGCAAAATCACGTATATATACACATGAATTTGTATTTCTGCAATAGGGCGGATGGGAAGCGGTTAAAAGTAGAACTCTGCCCAAATATATATTTTCAGCTTTTGGTGTATACAAGCAGAACGTAAAAATTGACACTAAACTTTATTCTCCAAAAATGATCTATACACATCTACTACTTAATGGCCCTAGCTCCCAATAACATTCTCTGTGAGCTCCAAAATGTCCCCTTTTCCCCTCCTCACTTCCATTTGTTTGGAATGAGTAATGCACGTTAGTTTTGGTCATGTACACGGCTCTATGCAGACTACAAATCCCATAGTGCATCTCAGGAACGAGCAAGAGAGGGTGGCTACATTCTTACATACATCGGGGCCATGAAGAATGAATGGAGCCACCCTCTAACAGGAAGTCAAATCAAAGCAAAAAAAAAAAATTGAATTTTCAGATTTGAAGGAAGCTGATGGAGAGAGGTTGTGGTACATTTCTGAATCAGGAATACAAACTTATAGTGGAACTTCACTCTCTCAATCAGCATTGAGTATTTGTAATCCATATGCTGCTAGTATTAGTAAATAGACAGGAAAATATACCATATTTACTTGTTTTAACTTTTTTTTTTTTACATTTCTTCAGTTACTTTCTGGTTTCTGGCCTAGGAAAATGATATCATACATCCCAGGAGTCTTCAGATGGGAAGGAGTGGTTTTCTCAGCCAAGCACACCATCCTGCATGCATGCCTGAGCTAAGGGCAGATGGATTCCAGGAAATAAATGAATTATCTGCCCTTACTCAAGATGGCCATGGCCACAAATGCTAGGCAGTGTTTTTCAAAGTGATTTCTCAGCAAACTAAAGCATTCAGACATGGAATGATGGATGGGTTTGCTCTGAATATTAAAAATGAAATAAATAGCGTTTTTGATTTGTGGTGCTCTGAAGCAATGTAATTAAGATTTAAATGGCTGTTTGTTTTATTTCTGTGCATTCATGCATGAAGGTAGAAAACATCCTGTGTGCAGCTCCCCACTCTCTCTCCTCATTTATTAAAACAGCAGTGGAAGCCATTGGCGCTGCTTGCTGTCAATCACAGCCAGTGAGCCATTGAGGAGAAAGTGTGGGTTGGGCAGAGCAGCAGCTCTATGTGTCTTATGGATGCATAGAGCGGGGTCTCGGGAGCGAGCACACACCAGTACCCCCATAGTAAGCAATTCGCTATTAGGGCACTGGTCAAGGGGGAGGAGCCAGGAACACAGGTGGGGGACCCGAGAAGAGGATCGGGGCTGCTCTGTGCAAAACCAATGCACAGAGCAGGTAAGTATCACGTTAGTTTGTTTTTTAAATAACTGAACCTTTAATATCACTTTAATACCCTACTGGGACCTTATTACTAGTCTGGGATCCGATATTCCTTGTTTGTCCTTCTGGAGTATATTTTCCATACACTAAGATGATTCTACTAGAAAACAGCAGCACCAGCATTACAGCATCTCCATCCCCCTTGCAGATTCACAGGAAGTATAAAGAATACAATAAAGGGAGGGGGAACCAAGATGGCTAACCTGGCCATCTTGGTTGAGGGAGGGGTATTTTCCAGCTGGGGTTGTGGACTGTAGTCAAGACCCAGCAAAGGATTAAAATTTTCCACATTTTATGCAAACCTATAAATAAGTTTGGGCTGGACTGTTCCCTCCACGTTAATAATAGCAGTTTATTAACCACTTCAATACTGGGACACTTTCACCCCCTTCCTGTCCAGGCCAATTTTTTGCTTTCAGAGCTATCACACTTTGAATGACAATTACTCAGTCATGAAATGCTGTACACAGATGACATTTGTATCATTTTTTGAGGCAGACAGAGCTTTCTTTTGGTGTCATTAAATAACACTGGGTTTTATGTAATTGTTTTGCTAAATAAATGAAAAAAATACCAACGAACCGGATGAACTTCATAATGGTTAATGAAAAACTGACGGCCATATTGTTGGATACCCATACAAAATTTCTGCAGATATGGCGTCCCTGGCTTGATATAGCTCAACCCTCGAGATTCGACCAGTCCCTTCTGTCGATATGAGGATGGATTTTGCTGTGATCCCCTTGGAGCCCCTCCCCTTTTTTTTTTTTTTGTGTGTGTGTGTGTTGTCCGTGTCTCTCTACTATTTGTCTTTTTTCTACTTTCCTGTTCAATCTGTCCTTAAACATATTTTACGGATTGTGCCTGCTGTTTTATGCGCTACATTCGCAATACTATTTATGCAATCTAGATTTCTTTATAAACTTTAGGTCTGAACATGTACTTGTGAGGCCTCTTCTCGTGCCTCTCCCGCTTTCTATAATGTTGATGTAGCAAAACTTCCCTTTAGAGTTTACATTATCATTGACCCACAAAGGTTTGTTACCCGTTCCCTTCCAACCCCTTCCGCCATCCTTTCCCTCAGGGCACCTATGTAAACTTTTCAGCTTTTGCCTTTATCGCTGCATGCCTTGAACCAGCTTCCCTTCATTTAATACAATTTATAAATGTTGGTCATTGAATTTTTGCTCCGAATGTCTGTTTATCTTTGCTTACTATTCAATAAAGCTCTTTGTAAAAGAAAAAAATACCAACGAATTTGAAAAAAACAAAACAAAACAGGTTGGTTATAAAATTTTGCAAATAAATCTTTCTTCATAAATTAAGGTTGAAATATATTCTGCTACATTTTTTTGGTGAAAGTAAACCAAATCTGTATAATATTTAGTCTGTGGGATAGTCTACAAAATATATATACAGTTGTGGCCAAAATTATTCAACCCCCAATGCTGTAAAGGGGTTTAGGGACTATAGAAATTGTATTCAGAATCAAATCCTACAAGGACGTTGTAACTACCCAAATGCAACTAAAAAAATGACATCAATTGTTTATGTAATACAGTAGTAAATGGTTCTTATGTGGTTTCTTCATTGCCACAATTATTCAACCCCTTAAAGACTACCACTCTGAAGAACAGAGGTTCATACAGGTGCTTTCCATCAGGTATTGAAAACACCGTGGATGTCACCGAGCAGCAATCACATAATAAGCACCAATTAGGCAGCTTTAAAATGACTGTGATACTCAGCTCCTTCTAGACATTTACTGGTGTGGTTACAAACATGGTGAAGGCAAGAGAATGGTCCAGGAAGACAAGAGAAGAGGTGATTTCCCTGGCTTATAAGAAGATTGCCTACCAAGAGACACCTTAGGAAGCATCATTCGCAAATTCAAGGCAAAGGGCACTGTTGAAACCTACCTGGTCAGAAAGAAGATGCTGACTTCGACTGCTGTGCGCTACCTGAAGCGTAGAGTGGAGAGAAGTCCCCGTGTGACTGCTGAGGAACTGAGAAAAGATTTGTCAGATGTGGGTACAGAAGTTTCAGCCCCATAAGACGCACACTGCGTAATGAAGGCCTCCGTGCCAGAACTCTCCCAGGCGTACCCCCTTGCTGTCTCCAAAGAATAAGAAGAGTCGACTGCAGTATGCCAAAAGCCATGTGGACACCACAAAAGTTGTGGGATAGTGTTCTGTGGACTGATGAAACAAAATTAGAACTGTTTGGGCCCATGGATCAACGCTATGTTTGGAGGAGGAAGAACAAGGCCTATGATGAAAAGAACACCTTGCTACTGTGAAGCATGGTGGAGGGTCAATCATGCTTTGGGGCTGTTTTGCTTCTGCAGGTACAGGAAGCTTCAGCGTGTGCAAGGTACCATGAATTCTCTTCAGTACCAGGAGATATTGGATGGAAACGTGATGCAGTCCGTCACACACCTGAGGCTTGGGAGACGTTGGACCTTTCAACAGGACAATGATCCCAAGCATACCTCCAAGTCCACTAGAGCATTTGCAGAGGAAAGGCTGGAACATTTTGGAGTGGCCATCGCAGTCACCAGACTTAAATCCGATTGAGAACCTCTGGTGGGACTTAAAGAAAGCAGTTGCAGTGCGCAAGCCTAAGAATGTGACTGAACTGGAGGCCTTTGCCCATGAAGAATGGGCGAAGATACCCGTAGATCGCTGCAAGACACTTGTGTCAAGCTATGCTTCACGTTTAAAAGCTGTTATAACTGTAAAAGGATGCTGTACTAAGTACTAAGATTGAATGTCACTTGGGGGTTGAATAAAACTGATAATGCTGTGAGCACAGAAAAGACATTTGTGGTTATTTCATTATAACTGTTATGTTATAATTTGTCTGACCTGTGCCTCTTTAATGTAAATGTAAGCAAGATGACTGATGTCAAACTGGCCAAAACACTAATTTCAAATATATATATATACACATTTGAAAATTGATCAATTCTGATGTACTGATGGCCTACTGATCTAATTTCTTGAGGCCCTAAAATGATTCCTTTTTGGAAAGTAGACACTCCGATGAAATTTAGTAAAAAGGCATGGTGAGTATTTTGAAGTTATAATTTTGTGTCACAACTTTTTGATCACATACTGTGAAATTTCACATACTAATAATAATTTTTATTTTTTAACATACTGTGACCAGAGCAGCATTGGCCACAATATCACACTAATATTGTGATTGACCACAGCTATCACAAGGTGCAGGTCTGCTGTGATTGACCCTTTACCATGTAATCACTGTGACCAAATCACAGTGATCACAATAGTACACAATGAAAGGCTATAAATGAAAGCCATTGTGTACAACTGACATGTGACCACTGTATTTTGTCACAGCAATCACACGGTACCAAGGCCAGCTCAGTGTAACGATCTGTGTCGCGCTGCGTCCGGTGGGTCACAGATTGTGCTGCTGCCACATCCGCTAGTGTGCACATGAGGAGTGTGAGCAGGACGACATCTACCCAGGATAATGGTGCCCCCGTGCGGCTCGCGGAATTCCAGCCTAAATCTAATTAGCTTTAAAACTCTTCCCTCCCAACACCTATGCAAAAAAAGATGTATATATTTACCTATTTTTAGCCTGCTCCTGTCAGGTCACGTGATCCCCTGTGAAAGCCAGTGATGGCTGCAGGGGAGAAAAGGAAAGGTTCGACAACAGCTGGGAATGGCGACATCACCCATAGGCTCCCATGTCCCAGCCGTTGTCAGCATTCCTCCTCTCCCCTGCAGTCACCGCTGGCTGACACAGAAGTTGTAAACAGTCAACTTGTAAACGGGCAAGTATATACATCTTTATTACACAGGTTAGTCAGCATAGTTGTTAGGAGGGGGGAAGGGACATTTTAAGACTAGTTGGGTTTAGGCTGGAATTCCACTATAAACTAACTGGGTATTTATACTGCTTTAGTTTTTATTCAGAACAATCTGTTTTACAACAAGCTGTTTTGATCCCTTTCATTTGATTTGTGCTATTGCTCCATATCTCATAACTAATGCCACCCCCCAGTATATAGCTGCGAGCTTTGTGTCATGCCAGCTTACAGTAAATAAAAGAACTGCATCATTACTACTTCCTGATATTTCTATTTTCACAATTCCTTCCATGTTATCAGACAAGAGCTAAACCAGTGTTGTAAACCAGTGTTGTCATATCTGTGATATTTACCTAATACAAACTGCGGCCAGTAGGTGATCCTCTTCATTAGTGGATAGGTAACTACCAGCAACAAGGAAGAAGCTCCTAGAGCGATGCTAAACAGAATGTTAGAAAGAAATTATTAGATGTAAATCCTCCCCAAATATCATTTATAGTTTTCTGTACCACTGGGTATTATAAACAACTGACATTCTTAACCTCCTCGGCGGTCTGATTCTTTCCGATTTTTTGTGCTGAAAGCGGTACCATTATTTTGCATGGAAATATGTCGTTTTTATTGTAGGCTGTAATTTTTAGGAATAACTCACTGAAATCTGTCCGAACAAGAGTCTAGTAAACATCCCGGGTATGATAAAATTTGAAACACGAAATCATAAATTATAATTTAATAAATAATCATAAAAAATAATAATATAATAATAATAAATTTAATTCAATAATATAATCAAACCAAACACACTGAAATTTGAAATACAGAGGCAAATTCGCACATCGCCGAGCAAAGTCGCAAAATCGTTTTCAGTGTCTGATGGGGAATTTCCCCCACGAATCATTATCACTCAATTCTGCAAGTGGTTCTGATTTACTATCGCTGTTCTCTAGCCGGTCTAAAACCGCTTTTGATGTAAAAGGGACGCTTTTTGGATGCCATGGACTTTTCTAAGTTTCCAGGCAGAAAGAACAGTCAAAATGCAGGCAGGGCGCCGGACAAAGCAGTAGGGACAAAATGTATGTGAAATGCATTGAAACAGCAATGACAGCAAAAATTAAATTTTTTTAAAATTTCAAATTTCCCGCTGGTTCCGGCGCCCCGTACGTCCCGACGTCACAAGGACCGGAAACACAGAAGCCGGATGCCGGCATCGGCCGGAGGAGATGGCCGGGGACGCTGCAGGGGACACATTGCGGGAGCGAAGGACAAGGTAAGTGCTGCAGGGACCCCCAGAGCAGCGCCGCATGGTAAGCCCGAGTGTAGCTCGGGGTTACCGCTTTTGGTATAGAAATTTTACCCCGAGCTACACCCGGGAATACCGCTAAGGAGGTTAATAAGATATTGCATTCACTTTTTTATCCTTTGCTGTATTTTCCGCAAAGGTTGTATTGTCTTAACTGAACTAGCAGAGGTTAGAAGTTGATTGGTTACTATGCACAGCTGCACCAGATTGAGCAAATCTCTCCCTTTCTCTCTACATGCACTCCAGCACTGACTGCATGGCTTTTCTCAGGGTGGGATTCCTGATGGTGACAACGGTGGATATCGCCTGCGTAATGTGTGTCACTTGGTGAAAACAGGGACCTTGTGTTGTAGGGCAACAAAGACCTCCATGGCAGGATCAATGGGTAAGATAATATTGTAACTTGCAGATTTTAAAATATTAAAAATAGATTTTGACATTACATTAAAATGTTAACACCTAATTGAGCCAAGTTTGAATCAGCAAACTACATTCCAGGGGCATCAAAACAAAAGATGTTCTTACAGTTTGCTTTAAAATGCAGGCACAGCCTGAGCCTTGTCTTGTCGCCTGCCAGAACGCCAGTACCTTTTTCTGTGTGGAAGCAGTGGCATCTCTGCAAAGGTCCAACAGAACCCCTTCTGTGTCAGACCAATAGCTCTGCAATACGCAAAGCTCTTGCTTTCTGATGATTAACCACTTCCCGACCGGCCGTTGTATATAAACGGCCGGACTGTGGCACTGCAGGGTCGGGTGGCCATCTATAAACGGCCTCCCCGCACCCTGCTTGTGCGCGCTCCCTGGGAGCGCGCAGCACCGCGATCCGGTGCCCGCTGTGTCCTCCGGAAAAGGTGAAACACCGATCGTCGGACGGGACCTCTGTACGAGGTCCCGATCATGTGATCACTGATTGGCCAATCAGTGATCACATGCAAAGTAGTAAGCAAGATGTCACTTCTGACATCATTGCTTACTATCTGTGAAATCTGTGAATGTTCACAGAGGTCACATGGTACAAGGCTATTCACAAAAGCCTTGTACCATGTGACAAGCTGTGACCAATCACAGCTCACTCAGTACTTCTCAATGAGTGCAAGAATGCACACAGAGAGAAAGAGAAATGATTGCTTTTACATCCTATATGGGTGTAAAAGCAATCAGTGTAAAAAAAAAAAAAAAAAAAAAATCTTCATCACCCCTCACAAGTAGTACAGTGTCACCATGGTGACACTGTACTGCTAGGGTGACAGTATGTAAAAAAAAAAAAAAAATAAAAAATAATAATAAAAAAAATAAAATAAAAAAAATGTAAAAAAAAATGTTTAAAAATTATAATTTTTGCTTATAAACTAATTTGGATTTTTTTTTTTTACTAAAAAGATAACGGAATAAATTTTGGCTAAGATTTATGATGAAATATTATTTATTTGCAAAATTTTATAAAAAAACACTTTTTTTCAAATATTTTGAAACTAATTTACATAGCAAAAAAAATACAAATCCCAGTGGTGAATAAATACCACCAAAATAAAGCTTTATCTATCTCAAAAAAATGGTAAAAAATTCATTTGGGTACAGTGTTGCATGACCGCGCAATTGTCATTCAAAGTGTGATAGCGCTAAAAGCTGAAAATTGCCCTGGTCAGGAAGGGGGTAAAAGTGTCCGGTCTGGAAGTGGTTAAAGAACTCTAGCAGAGGTGTGTCGGACAGCTGCAGAGGGATCATAAAGAGGACAAGATTCCTTTTTTGCAGCATGCTGGCAGGGGACAGGCTTTTTAATAAGACGCTCTGTTTTTTTAAAGAAAACAAACTGTAAGAATGTTGCACTTTGATGGGCCTGGAATATGTTTAGCCAACTTAATCTAAAAGTTAGTGGGGCTTTAAAACTTTTATGAGATTTTAGTGACTGGGTTAGCATTAAATTTTACAAAAACTGTACATACATGCTTCAGTCCCTTGTTCCCTAAAGCGGACCAGTCCCCTCTTTCCCTAAATGTCACATCAGCATGCATCTGTGTGTGCAGATACGTAATGCCTACACTTTTATGTTTTCTGCTTTATTTACCTTTTTTTCCCCTTTCACTTTCTAGTTTCCCTCTGGTTGAAGGAAAGAAAAATTGCATAATCTATGACCTACCCAAGAGATCTGCCAGGCCATACAATTCCACATTCAGAATGTACAACTATCCATTTTAAAGCGTATTATAAAAGAAGATCAACCCACCTATAGTTATTTAGGCACAAAAGTACACACAAAGCCATGCTGAGCTGACCGCCCAGGAAAACCAAGGACTGGAAGCGGGAGATGTCACCCGCTGCAATGGGACGACTGGCTGTTCTCTCCACCTGCAGAGAAAAACAAATCAGATTTGGAGGCTATCAGAACCAATGTTGAAGCTGTAAACTATCCTGAACTATCAAATATCTTAGCACTGGAGTAACTTAGAAAGTTTACAGAAAAGCCAAACATTAGTTTTTAGTTTTAGTAAGAGTCGTGAGGAATTAGAGCAGTGGTCTCCAAACTGCGGCCCTTTGCTTGCTTTTATTTGGCTCTTGGGGCACCATTTAATCCACTGCCACCAATGAATTCCTCCCAGTGATATCAACGATAAGACACAATTCACACCAATGACACCAACAATGAGGCACAGTTTATCCTAACGATACCATGAATGGGGCACAGTTTATCCCAACGATACCAAGAATGGGGCCCAATAACATCAATGATGGGGCACAATTTCTCCCAATGACACCATCGATGGGGCACAATTCCTCCCAATGACACCAAAGATGGGGCATTGTTTACTCCAACTGATGCCGGGACATTTTCCGGTCCGGCCCTCCTAAAGTCTGTAGGACAGTAAACTGGCCCACTGCTTAGAAAGTTTGGAGACCCCTGAGTTAGCCTCTCAACTTCTATGGACGTAGTTTTCCCCGCTAGGGTGATCCATCCTGTTTGAATTGTTGCTTAATAAGAAAAGAGTTTGTCCTAAACACGTAGCATTTCTCCATGCTTTCACAATGGCTTAAAGTAGAAATAAAGGCAAAAAAACGTTTCTCATTTTGGATAATGTAAGGGAGAGATGCAACCCGTCGTGTTGTTTTTTTTTTTTATTGCCATCTGTGTCCCACTGGGAGATTTTACTTTACTTCCTGTCTTGCCAAAACAGAAAGTGAGAGAATCCCTGGTTGTCACAAGAACTAAATGTCCCCACTGGAAGATTTAACCTCTATTAGTGTTCTGGTGACAACCCAAAATTTAGGATTTTCTTTCACTTTCATAAAAACAGAACAAATAGAGGGGGTGAATCTCCATAACAGTGGTATAGACAACAATCAAAAACTGACAGGGGTTCTAATCTCTCTCCACTCTATCCAATACTTAAAAAAAAAAAAGAAAAGGTTTTGTCTTCAGTTATACTATAATAAATTAATGTTTTACCATTGTCTCTAGTAAGGAAAATGACAGGAGACTTGAAATTATTAGTTATAGTAACAGGAAGAGAAAGGAAATTTTGCAATAAGGACCCCTGTTTCAGTACCAGCTGCCCAATAGGAGATTTTTTTCTTGCTCTGTACCAAGCTAAATAATTTTGGCTTTACATACAGATCTGCCAATTCAGTTTCTGTTCACAATGTTCCCATAAACTCTTCCATGAGGTCTACCAGGTAGAGCATGCATATTTTTCTTTTCCCAGTCTGAGGTCACCATGTTTTTATGCATTTCCTTTCCCTGACTTCTCTGAGAAGAACTGAAATCCCCAACCTAGCTTCAATACTCCATAGACCATAGAAATACATAACACTGTCCTGGTATGCTGTTTTATCACAGAGGAGATTCTGAATGTCTTTTCTGTCATAAATGCTTCTCCTTCTATGTCATCAAGTCTGATTTCCTAAGTGTACTCGAAGCTCTGCATGAGCACTTTCTGTAACTGATGCGCATATGCAGGAGTTGCGTCATCCCAATCTGGGCAATCAAAAACTCAGGTTTAGAACAGAGTAGATGGAAAGAAAGAGATGGAAGCAATGATGACACAGTGGAACACTGGAAAGGAGTGTTTGCATGATGCTGGCACATTATGGAAAAAAAAAAGCTCATTTTATTGTGGCAGTTTATTTTCGCTTAAATAAAAAAATATTCTCCATTGTGTTGTAATATTATTTGCAGTAAAATCCAACATGAGAGTTTTATCAGCAACAATTAACCACTAGCCTACAGGGCACTTATACCCCCTTCCTGCCCAGGCCACTTTTCAGCTTGCAGAGCTGTCACACATGAATGACAATTGTGCGGACATGCAACATTGTACTCATATGAAATTTTTATAATTTTTTTTGAGACGGAGCTTTCTTTTGGTGGTATTTAATCACCTCGGGGTTTTTTTATTTTTTGCTTAAACCAAAAACAACTGAAAATGTTTGAAAAAAAATGTTTTCTCTTAGTTTTTGTTATAATATTTTGGAAATAAGTGATTTTTCTCCTTCACTGATGTGCGCTATGAGGCTGCAGTGACGGGCACTGATAGGCTACACTGATGGGCGCTGATAGATGGCACTGATGAGGAGGCACTGGTACGTGGCACTGATGGACATTGACAGGCATCACTGCTGGGCACTGGCACTGACAGGCGGCACTGTCTGGCACTGATAGGTGGCATTGATGAGCACTGACAGCTGGCATTGATTGACACTGACAGGTGGCACTGCTGGGGCTACACTGATCATCAGTGCCCTGATGATCAGTGTACATATCCCCTCTAAGGAATACAGATTACCGGTTCTCCTCTCCTCTCGACCTGTCAGCGTGACAGCTCGTGAGGAGAGAAATGCCGATAACCAGCATTTCCTTATTTACATGCGATCAGCTGTGATTGGACACAGCTGATCACATGACCGTGCCAGTTCTTTCCGTTGATTGGTGATCCACTGTGTCCGAGGGACACAGTGCACCACCAATCGCCGCGCTGCGCACCCCCGGAGCCGCGCACAAGGTTAGAGTGGGGGGATTGCATATGACATCCTCCCAGAACGAGAGAACCGCCTTGCGCCTGTCATTTCCTTATATGGCGGGCGGGAGGTGGTTAATCAGCCAGACTGATGTGCAACCATGACCACCTTTGAACTCTTCTCCTGTATTGATGAGCCTCAAACTTCCCCGCCCATACCAATGACTATCGACAACCAAAAATGTGCATCCATAACACCCCCCCCCCCCCTCAAAGTCTTCTTGAAATGCCAAGAGATCAATCCAACCAATGGGCACCTCAGATGCCAAGTTCCCCAATATTTATTGCGTACATGAACAATTTATACCAAACATATAAACACACAAATTCAATATTTTCTTCATAGTCCGTTTTTTTTTTTACATTTTCCTCACAGAAATCACTCAGCATAATTGCCGGTGTGAATGGGTTTGGGCTTGTGTCAGTGGAGAAATGCAGTTTGCTTTCAGGTGCATTCCGTATGTTTCTGAAATCAACCTTCAAACTGCTTTTGCATTTCCATTGACTTGCATGGGGAAATAAGCAGTTCTGATTCAAACAAAAGCCTGCCAACCTTGGTCCTTTGTCAGTTATTATACAATAGATCAGGTGTGGAAAACCTGGGCATTGCAGCCGTGGTAAAACTACAAATCGCATCATGCCTCATGATATTTGTTGTTTGGCCACAGCTGGAGTGCCAAGGTTGCCCACATCTGCTATACATTAGATATAGGCAACCTTTGATATGTCTGTGACGGGAGTCACTTTGGGTGGGGGGGCCCATGGAACCCATCTCACTTCGGAGAGGTGGGGAGACCCTGTCTCAGCTCCCCATATCTCTCCTATGTGTAAATCACCCTGTGCTGTTAGGGGTACAGGGTGATCTGTCCTAATATTGTGTGGGCTTTGTCTCAGACTGTGTAGACATGTCTAGGAGATAGGTGGGGTGGGGGGTTGTTGATTGTTTAATGTTATATGGTTGCATCCCATTGTTATATTGCCTGTCAGGATTGGGAGCAAACTATTATGGGATGTATGTGTTTATGTGTATTAGCTTAGCAGGGGGAGGGGGGGGGGGTGTACAGCAGCCCTCCATCCTGATGGGACTGTCTGCTGATGTGAAGTTTGAATACCTGTGTGTCTCTTGTTACTAAATGTAGATTGCCCCACCCTGTGATATTATACAGGGGGGGGGGGGAAATTGTCCCATGAGTGTATACATCTTGTATCTGTGTTCAAATAAAGTAGTCTACCTCCTGGTTCACTTCAAGACTGGTGTCGTCTAGTCTTGTATGGTTGGCTGTGGTGCCTGTTGTCGGTGTTCGGACGGGGAAGCGGTATTCTAATGGAAGTACTCAAGCGCAGTCTGGGTCGGTTCAATTACAATATCTATTTATGGCATACCTTTCTGTCAAAATCTTTGTCCCACATGTCATTAATAGTGCACCCAGCACCACGCATCAATATCGCTCCTGTGCCAAACAAGGCCAGCATAGAAAGGTCAGGCAGGCTACCTGGGTCTGCTGCCAGGGCAATGCTCCAGGTACAGGGCAAGTACAGCAACCAAGTTCCTGCAATGCATTAAAAGAACACAAGTTTAAACTGGACGCAGATGATGACATTTTAGTGACATATTTATAAAGCAATTAATATGACATTAGCCATTCACTGCAGGTGAATCTTCCAGGTGCATGATTTAAACAACAGTAACGAATTCACCACCAGTGAAAGCCACACTCCCTACTTTATAAATGTACCCCTTATTGTTAATTTAGTCAGGTTCAATTTGCTACACAATGGCTTAGCACATCATTTGCTTTTATGCACTTAAAAGATTCACACTGACAGTTTAGTTGGATGACATACATCAAGGTTTGAAAAGCATTTTTCTCATCTGCAGTTCTCCTTTAGTGCCCTTTTCCCATTTTGCAGAGGACTTGTGCCAAGCATGATATGATGGCAGCCTCTGAGAAAAAAAATTAGTTTCCAATCTGTCTCTGACTTCATATTCTCTGAGCAATCACAGTTAGGGGTTTATTTACTAAACCTGGAGAGTCCAAAATCAGACTCCCTTCTGCATAGAAACCAATCAGCTTCCAGGTTTCATCGCCAAAGCTTCATTGAACAAGCTGAGGTTAGAAGCTGATTGCTTTCTATGCAGAAGGGAGTCTGATTTTGGACTCTCCAGCTTTAGTAAATAAACCCCCCAGTGACATCAGGACTCCTGATCTGCATGCATGTTCCAGGACAGTAGTGATGCCATAGGATTAAAAGGACAGTCAAGGAACAAGCGTTTTCATAAGGAGAGATTAGCCGTGGTGCAGGGTTGACCCTATTATGCATTGACTAGTTAGATTTTTTATCTATACACAGTAATTCACTTGTGGTATATTTGTTTTCCTTTTACCTATAGGTTTATCCAGTCTCATAAGTCGAAGGTAGGGCTGGACATTTTCTGGCATGGACTGAACCAGAGCAGCGGCAGAAAAGTGATGCCTTGTAGCAGCACAGTTGCCTGTTTTCAGAGGTGAGCTCTGAGACCTGGAAGGACTGCAGGTATTTAGGAGGGGGGTGTATAAACGGTGTGGGTGAGGCCATCTTGGATCCAGTATAGTCTTCTTGTGGTTTGTGTGAACGCAGCCAGGCCAGGTGCTGTACACATAAGTGCAGGGTCTGTACACCGATCTATGGAAGGACAGACATCCTCGTAGTATTCCCACAGATATCACAGCCATCCCAGATATCCTACCTATAAATGAAGACAGAGTTATTATCATCATGGTTTTTTATTATATAAACAACTTCAGTTTCCAAAGAGACAATTTTACAATTGTGACACCCTTGGGAATTTCCCTGCATTCTGCATGAGCGACTTCTAAAATGTACTGCAACCTGATCTGTCACAATAACAAAGAGGGTTATATTCAGCAAAGCACTTTCCATTGCTAGGCATTAGCAAAGTATTGGTTTGAAACCATCAGGTCCACCTGGAAAAAAGAAAGTGAACTCTGAAATTTCTCCACTAGTGCTACCAACACTTTGGGGAAGATTTAGGCAACATTCACACAAAGGCGTTTTGAATCGCAGGCAAAATCACAGCAATTCTGCCCGCGATTTCAAAACGTACTGTTAAAATGTCAAATCGGACATTATTATTATATAGTATTTATATAGCGCCAAAGGGTATGCTCAGCGCTGTACAGTAGCAAGGGGGACATAACATGAGACAAGACAGTAACAATACAATACATGAGGGGTTCGAGGGCCCTGCTCTTTTGGGCTTACAATCTAGGAGGGAGGGGAAAGTGGTACAGGAGGAGATGGCTGTGGGGGATGGAGTGGTGGGAGGAGTGGAGGTTAGGTTAGTTGTTAGGTGAGTTGGGGTAGGCTTCCCTGAAGAGGTGGGTTTTCAGGGTGCGCCTGAAGGTGAGGAGGGTAGGTGACAGTCTGATGGATTGGGGTAGGGAGTTCCAAAGGATGGGGGAAGTCCTAGAGAAGTCCTGCAATCGGGCGTGGGAGGAAGAGACATCAGCATGTTTAGGTGCCACTCATTTCAATGGCACCTAAAAACGCGGGGAGATTCCACAGCGACTGCTGCATGAGAAATCACCCTGCAATTGCGCAATGCGTGTCGCCCAAAAGAAGAGCTGGGAGTTGCACGATTGCAGAGCAATTTGTCGTGTGTCGCAGCAGAATCGCCTTGCGTTTTTAGTTTCCATTAACATGAATGGCACCTGAACATGCTGATGTGCGATTTGACATTTTGCCAGCACATTTCTGAATTTCGGGCAGGACCGCAGCGATTGCGCCTGCCATTCAAACCGCCTATGTGTGAACGGAGCCTTACTAAAACTGGAACACTCAGAACCTGGTGCAGCTGTGCATGGCGGCCAATCGGCTTCTATCTTCAGCTTGTTCAATTAGGCTTTGACAATAAAACCTGTAAGCTGATTGGTTACTATGCATTTGCACCAGACACTACCCATTTCTGTCACTGCTGATTAGACTTGTGCAGAGGTTAGCAGGTAGTTTGGCTCACTCCTGCATACAAACCTGCTTCAGATGTCTCACTACCCTGCTTAAAATAAGTTCAAGGAATTGTTTTGGGGACTGATGAGAAGGCTCTGACTTTGACTTTTTTTTAAAAAAATCTAGAAATTCTTAAGACCCCTTTCACACAGAGCAGGCAGATGACAGGTCCATGTCTGCTCAGTTTATGCAGAGTGGACACGGACAGAGCTCACTCTCCCCTATGAGCAGTCGGGTGTAAATGGACTCCGCTGTCTGTTTACACCAGACTACCTTCCAATCTGCCTAGATGGAGGAGGGACAGATCCCCTTCTGTTTTTTTTTTTGGTTTTTTAGAGGACCAGATCGGATTGAAGGTTGGCAAGTCAATTTGCACCCTCCGCTCCATAGGTATGAATGGAAGGTCTGATCAGGTCTGCCTGAAAAACTAGTGTTTACTAGTAACTAACAAAACCTATTAAGTTGCTGATCACAGCCATTACTAGTATAAATTAAATAAATAAAAATTCCAGCATTTATATCATAATTTGTAGACAGTATAAATTTCATGCAAACCAATCAATATACACTTATTGGGATTTATTTTTTTTTTACCAAAAGATATGTAGCTGAATACACTTTGGCCAAAATTTATGAAGAAATCTGATTTTTTTTTTTTCTTATTAGATATGTTTTATAGCAGAAAGCAAAAAAATTTTTTTTCTTCAAAATTTGGAGTATTTTTTCAGCTATATCGCAAAAAGTAAAAAAATAAAATAAAATAAAAAAAAAAAACCCAGTGGAGCTCAAATACTACCAAAAAGGAAAAAAGCTTGATATGTGTGAATATAAATGGTAGCACAGTGGCTAAATGGTTAGCACTTCCGCCTGGCAGTTGTTGGTTCGAATCCCAACCACGGCACCACCTGCTTGGAGTTTGCATGTTCTCCCTGTGCCTGCATGGGTTTCCTCCGGGTACTCCGGTTTCCTCCCACACTCCAAAGACATGCTGGTAGGTTAATTGGATCCTGTCTAAATTGGTCCTAGTATCTATGAATGTGAGTTAAGGACCTTAGATTGTACGCCCCTTGAGGGTTAGGGACTGATGTGAATGTACAATATATATGTAAAGTGCTGCGTAAATGTACATCGCTATATAAGTACCTATAATAAATAAATAAAATATAAATTCAGTTTGCATACAGTGTTGTATGACTGCGCAATCACCAGTTAAAATAGCACAGTGCCAAACTGCAAAAAATGGCCTGGTCATGAAGGGGGTAAAATCATCTGGAGCTGAAATGGTTAAGCCACTCTGCTCTGGTGGAGGTCATCTGATCATCAAAATGTCTGTTAAATTTTAGATTGCTGATAAACACCCCAACATTCAAAAAAGTAAAAAAATAAATAAAAAAGGTTCTGCTAACATACTCTAGCCCAGGGTTTGTCAACCAGGATCCTTCAAAGGTGGCCAGGGGTTCCTTGAGCAATTTCTGCCTCTCAGATAAATTCCCACTGACACCATCATTTTTAGCTATCTGTAAGGGGGTCATTCCTTGACCACATGTGTAAGGAGCGTTCTTCCCAATGACCATCACACTAATGTATCATGAATTCTAGATATAGTCATTTTTAGCAGGAGTTCCAAGACTGGAACATGATTTCAGAGGTTCCTCAGTGTTGAGCAGATTGAGAAAGGCTGCCCTAGGCGGTTGGGTTACATGCTGTAACAGGAAGGACAGAAACTTTTCAAATGTCAGCCAACTCTCAGATATCGCTCTCTTGTTCAGATGAGTCATTTCCTTTCAGCTACTTTCAATTCTCCTGTTTGGTGGCCTCTGTCCAGAGAGCAATTTGTTTTGTTTCCTCAATGGCATCATCAAATGTTGTATACAAGGTGTAGTTCAGGAAATGCCACTCCTGAGGGATCTACATTGGAGAAACAAAACAGAATCTGCAATTCCCCTGCTGCAGATCACAGTGGGAGGGCATCAGCCACGGTGCTGTCAATCCAGAAAGTAGTGGGGGCAGAGCTTAGGTGTGGCCAGGTGCTGATTGACATGAATCATCAGTGACAATGCTGGTAGCCACGCCCCCTGCAACATCCTCTCCTTTTACTATAATTTATTTATTTCAGGTTCTTATATAGCACCGTCAATTTAAGCAGCACTTTACATACATATAATGCGGGGGTCTCCAAACTTTCTAAACAAAGTGCCAGTTAACCGTCCTTCAGACTTTAGGGGGCTTGATTGTGGCCACTGGGAGTAGAAAAGGTCCTGACATCAGTGGGGAAACAACAATGGCCCATCGTTGGTGTAAGTGGGAAGAATTGTGCCCCTATCGTTGGTGTAAGTGGGAGGAATGTGGTGTCCCCCCTATCGTTGGTGTAAGTGGGAGGAATGGTGCCTCCTATCGTTGGTGTCACTGGGAGGAATTGTGCCCCTAAGTCGTTTGTGCCTCTATCGTTGGTGTCACTGGGAGGAACCCCTATCGGTTGTGCCCCTATCGTTGGTGTCACTGGGAGGAAATGGCCCCTAACGTTGTGCCCTGGGAGGAATATCGTTGGTGTGGTGCCCCTATCTGGTGTCACTGGGAGGGTGCCCCTACTGGTGCCCTTATCGTTGGTGTCACTGGAATTGGTGCCTCTATCGTTGGTGTCACTGGGAGGAATTGTGCCCCTATCGATGTCACTGGGAGGAATTGTGCCCCGTTGGTGTCATCAATGTCACTGGGAGGAATTGTGCCCCTATCGATGTCACTGGGAGGGAATTGTGCCCCTATCGATGTCACTGGGAGGAATTGTGCCCCCCTATCGATGTCACTGGGAGGAATTGTGCCCCTATCGATGTCACTGGGAGGAATTGTGCCCCTATCGATGTCCCCTACTGGCGTCACTGGAGGAATTGTGCCCCTATCGTTGGGAGTCACTTTAATTGTGCCCCTATCACTGGGAGGAATTGTGTGTTGGTGTCACTTTAATTGTGCCCCTATCATTGGTGTCACTGGAATTGTGCCCCTATCGTTGGCGTCACTGGAATTGTGCCCCTATCGTCGGCGTCACTGGGAGGAATTGTGCCCCTATCGTTGGTGTCACTGAGAGGAATTGTGCCCCTATCGTTGGTGTCACTGAGAGGAATTGTGCCCCTATCGTTGGTGTCACTGAGAGGAATTGTGCCCCTATCATTGGTGTCATTGGGCCCCACTGTTTGTGTCACTAGGAGAAACTATGCCTCATCGCTGCTATCTTTGGGAGCAACTGTGCCCCATCATTGGCGTCAGTGAAGGGGTTAAGCCCCATTATTGATATCAGTGGATGAAATAATGCCCCAAGGACTGGATAAAAACAAGCAAATGGATGCAGTTTGGAGACCACTCCTATAGTACGACAGGCACAGCCTACAAGAGAGTGACAACTTTGTTCTGACTTCAGGATCAGTGCAGCATGGTTGCCACCCCGTCAAAGGAAGCTGCGTTAGGTGGACTTCACTAGCAGGTCTCTCCCTCGCTCTCTCTAGAGAGCATTTGTCAGGCACCAATACACCTCCTCGCTGTCTGTTTTAAACCTCCTATAATGCTGGACTACCACACCACAACTACATGTGATGTTCACTTGAATGGGTCATGCTCGGTGGGTGGTAGTGCAGGTCGAATGTGACAGGTGATATATTTCCTGCCATGGTGTAAAGCATAGCCATCGCATGTGTACACCACGAATGCTGCCTTC